CCTTCGCGCGCATCAGGAGCGTCTCCGTCTTCTTCTCCGACACCGTTAGCCCGAACTCCCCAAACACCTCAACGATGATGGTCATCATTCTCGCCAGTCGTTCTGCATACCTCGAAACGATGCCGGCATCATCGGCATACAGCATCCCCCATACTGCCCTCCGTACTCGGTCAAGGGGTGTCTCCCCCCCCCCAGCTTCCGTCTTCCCCTCCTGCAAGCACACCAGGCTCCGCAGATCAACATCATCCTCGCTAAATCGGATGACAACGACCTCGAGGACCTCGGCGAAGAACATGTTAAAAAGCAGGATAGCACACATCCTTGAGGCTGCCCCAAAGTTCCCTACCTCAATTGGTGACCGTGGTGGCGAACGATTCACGAATGAGTGCATAAAATCGAGCGAAAATCCGCGGGCTCCCCTATGAAATGCAGGGGTGATGGAAACATCGATACAAATTGCCAATGACACCACTGTTTATAGGAGCATAAAGTTGCGAGAAAAGCTAAAGGTTGCAAACCTTTATTGGAGAAAAAAGTTGCGCGCCGAACGTTTGGAAACTTTAGCTTTTCCATGAATCGCACCATCTGGGGCGATACTTTGCGAACTTTGCTGGCGACGAAAGTGTCGAACAAAAGTTTCGCGGCAAGAGTCGCGCCAATCCACACCAGGCACCTGCGCGTACCACACACGCGCATGATCTCCGCGATAGATGAACCGAGTTGGAGTTGCTTGCGAGGGCCGCAGCGGTGTAGAATATGTAGACAATATTTTTAGGGTCTGACAACAATTGGTGTTGGGTGTGAGCATGATCGAGGACTTCCTGGCTTCGATTGGAAGAAAAAACGCCAGTTTTTTTTTCGCCAACTCGTTTTCCGAACTTTTGTTGCACGCCCTCGCCGGTTTCGCGGCGTGGTATGAAGGGGTGTACCTGCTTCTCGCCGTTGCCCATTAAACAATAGTACTCAAGCCTCGGTGTTCCACCAATACCGCGAAGAAAACTTCCTTTGCCCTTTAGTGAGCGTGCAATAACGCGTTTCAGTCGTGGGCCCGGTTTATCGGTTCCCTGTTTAGCGGGATGCCTCAAATGGCGATTAAAAAATCTTGTTCCACGGCTGCACCCCGGTTTAGCGGTTAACCAACCGCTAAACCGGTCGTGCCCTCAATAGTGGTTATTGGGCATGTTGTCAGCCACCATTAGCGGTTATCGGTTCAATTTTTGCGGAGACCTACTGTAGTGCGCGCTTCGTTTGCACTTTCTCCCAGCACAGCGACATTGGTCAGCCTGTTAGCTGGTCGATGCTCATAATAAAAAGGACATAGCGAGACCCGCACACATACCAAACGACGCAGGGCTAGAGAAGAATCGCCTAAAGATAGCTGTGAAAACGACGGCGAGAGTGATGGTGGTGAAAGTAAGGAGGATGATGGTGAAAGCATAAAAAACGAACTCGAGTGCAAGGTAGCAGTTTTCCTCTGTTACACCCGTTCCTGTCCTTAATCCAGAGATTAGCTTGTGCCTGCCCCATGCCGCGCCCTCACGGGGTCCCAGTTAATGGCACATAGATGTGGTTTGTGTTTTCAACCGCCACTGAGATTGACGACGACGTCTTGTCAAGGGTCAGCCGGTTAGCGCGGTCGATGCTGATAACGACGCACACCTCGCGGCGCGTGGATGGAGAAATGTGCCAGCGTCCAGATAAGGCACTGAGTCCAAGCGGCGCGCACCATTGCAAAGGTTGCGGTGGTGGCCGCATTCACGGCATGTGTGGGGAGGCGGAGGATCCGGATGACAACGAGATGCAACCGGCGTGCAACCAAGAAGGCGCAGAATTCCTCCCACGTGTCAAACCCTCCCAAGCGCCTAGAGATGGAAGGTGGCTTTCTAGCACCTGGCGCGCGGAAAGAAGCAACTCGCGCTGCAGCTGCACAACAGCCCCACACGCGGCTCTACTATGGCTAGAAGCTCGAGGTTTTGAAGCTTCTTGACCAGAACGTAACGCACTCAGAACAAGTGCGCAGCCGAAGCTTTGCACAAGGACGCGAATGGCGAGGTTGTTGAAAAACGTCTAGTATGTACATGGACGGGGGCCTAACCCCTCCGACGACGACCTCGAGCTATGTAGGGCTAGATACCACGGCACAAGTTGACGGTGCGAAGGGCAGGGGGGTAATGGCACCGCCACCATACAAGGGAGCGCCAAGGACCCGGAGGTGTGGTACAACAAGGTCGAGGACGGGGCGGCATGGTTCATGAGGAAATGGCACAGGCAGGAGGCGGAAGCGTCCGCGAAGCGCCAGCGCGCGAGGGAAGCAGAAGCAGAGAGTACGGCCTCAGGACCGAAGAGAAAGAGAGCCGGGGAAGCGGCGGTGGGGGGGAAGAAACGGCGACCGGGCATTGCTGTAGAAGCGAGTAGGGCGGCCGAGGCAGCACTTGTGGCGAACTATGTACCCGGCTGATGTTGTTGCTCCCGGTTTCCCTCCCTGCTGTATGCTATGCTGTAGAAGCGAGTAGGGCGGCCGAGGCAGCACTTGTGGCGAACTATGTACCCGGCTGATGTTGTTGCGCCCGGTTTCCCTCCCTGCTGTATGCTATACTCCTCTATGTATGTCCTTTGTATTGCCTTCGGCCTCTGTGCTGTTTATTTTTTTCATGACCTCCCTGCCTACTCTGCTGTGTTGGGTACCGTGATCTCGTTTTGCTGTTGCCTTTGTTTTTGTACGTCTGGCTGCCTGCCCATCTGCCGCCTCTCTGTCCTGTTTGCTCCGTTACTCCCATGCCCTGGTGCGTAGTGCCTGGTGCTGGTACGTTACCCCTTTGTTTTTTTTTTCGGGCGGGTGTGGGAAGCGTCCTCCTTTTTTTTTGTTTTTGTTTGATTTTGATCGGTTTCCGAGGGCTCTTTTCTCGAACGGTCGGTGCGATACCTGTTTTTCTCTTTGTATCATTTTGTTTTCTTGTTCCGAGTGCTTTGTACCCTATTTTTGTTTTTTTTTCCCGCGGCGTCGTATGTGCCGGGCTTTGAGACCACCGGCTCCTCATTTTTTGTGGACTATAGAACTAATGTGAGAAACAACAACAACAACAACAAAACTCGGGGCTATCATCGGATTTTGGCCAGCGTGCAGAGCGCGGAGTCGTGTGGCGTAAGCGAAGCAGCACACTATTTCCTCAAGGCAACAATGGCGTTTCTCGCAGCGCGCGCCACTCAACCAGCACGCAAGGCAAATACCAGAGAGATTATGGTGGGTTCAGAATGATCGATCGCGAAACTTGGCAGAAATGAGATGCTCAAGCACGTGGTTGGCTACCATTGCGTTGTCACAAGTTTGTCTTATCACCTTCACTTCGTCAGAGACGCGAACGATGTTCCAGTCTTGATGAGGGGCATACAGTCCCGAAGGAGAATAAGCTTTGAGCTTTTGGCGAATGAAAATGAACTGTTAATGACTGTACTTGCGGCGTTGTCCTTTTTTGGCTCGTTACTTCTTCATATGCACCTTCGTATGGCTGCTGCAATGAGACACATGACCCTATCAAGGTGAGCTTCCGTCGCTGCTCTTGCAGGCCAAAAGTGGACTTTTTCCCGGTTTAGCGATTCATGACCACTGTCGAGCCTCTTTAGCGGCGATGCTCTGAATAGCGGTCATGAAGTTTCGTGACACGTTGGACCGCTAAACCGGGCCCGCGACTGTATTGGCAAAAGTTCCGACCCTGTCCAACGTTAACTTTCCACACCCTGCACAACGTTTACTAAGAGCTATGTTAATTGTTTGCCAGACAACAACCGGCTATATAGTAGTTGCTCGTAAACACCTAGTTGCACACGCTCCTAAAAGAGTAGTTGTCTACAGGCAACTAGGTGCTCACGATTCTGGAGAAAGTAGTTGTCTCAAGGCAACTAGGTGGGCACGCTCCTGGAAGAGTTGTTGTCTCCAGGCAACCAGGTGCACACGCTCCTGGAAGAGTGGTTGTCTGGCAAACAACTACCAACTGAAGTAGTTCTACAGGGTGTGCAGTTTTCTCACAACTTGATGCTCACATAAAAGCGGTGTGAACACTTTTCTAAAGGCAAAACAAAAACAAACATGTAGGAAGGCCGTTTCTTAAGCACCGTTCTCTTCGGGGATTGTAAGTCGCGTGTTGTCAGTAATACTAGTGTAATTTCTTTTTCCGGACGATACGCAGTTTCGTATAGGATCAGAAAGTACACGTTTCCGGCTGCACATTTTTGGTTTCACGTTTCCAAGCGATCATGCGTTCGGAGATGATGCCAGTTTGTGATCGGATGGCGCGTTTGTTTCTTTCATTTGGAAATGCATACCACACGGACAGAACCATGGATTACGCAGCAAGTACTGGTCGTAGCGAGCTTTTCAAGGGCTCGGAGCAACCCCCGGAGCACTGTGCAGCCATCCCAACCGTTGGTATGTGATTGCCGTGTGGCCAGGTGCGCTCATAGCAAAATGTTGGCCAGCTGACGCACACACCGCTTGTTCAGACCGGCAACGACCAGACCCCCAAAGAGACGCAGCATCATCCGAACAAACATATTGATGGAAAATATCTGCCTTTTCTCGCTCGCTAGAGCACCCCTCCTGCTGAAACTTGCGAGCATGTAAGCTCCATCAACTACTCTCTGTCGGAGGAGCTGTGTTGTGTCATTGCTGTTGGTTCGGTCAGTGGAGTGATAACTACATCGCCAGCGGTGAAACGGCAAGAAACCTGTACAGCAGTGAGCGGCACCGCATGTCGTTTCGAACAGCAGTCGACCCTTAGCCAACTTCGTTGGTCAGCCTCCCGGCGCATCACAGTCTCTGAAACCACAGCACAAGTAGCACCATACACACAGCTGCGGGCGAGTGTCTTTGTGGTGTCTGATGGTTCGGTCAGTTACGAGGGGTCGCTACGAAACCAAACCTGTGACGGCGCAGAAAGCTGTCAAAAACTGTGTTCGAGCGGGGGGTCTTTTTCGAGCACCAGTTGGCCCTCTCGCCCACCTCTCGACCTCCCAGCGCCTCGCGATCTAAAACACCACCCCACATGAGGCACCATACGCACTGTTACGCGTGGATGGCTCTGCTAATGCTGTTGTGTCGCCCAGTGCACAGAGATCCCCGAAAATCTTGACAAGTGATGAGATCGTACAGGGCAGCATGTGGAAGATTCAAACGGCCGCATCCCATAGCCAGCATTGTAAAAATTATCGACTGCACTTTAAAAAATCGTCGTTACAGACACGAAGTTTCTCTTTTCCGAACGAGAAATTGCACCTTTTAATTCAATTTTCAGCTCGTCAAATATACGGCCTGAGGGGGGATGGCCTGCAATAAAAAATGAGCCAGATCCGAGCAACACTCTCACGGTGCAGGAGAAATACATTTTTCCCGGTGAAAAAGGCTGATTCAAGCTTTTGCGGGTCACAAGATGCTTCAGTTCGCATTTTCGACTCGTGTGCGACCAACAAGACACGAGCGCCCTGCTTTTGGGCGGTATGCAGCGGGCATGTGGATGATCGACCGCCGTTCACTGCAGCTTGTGGATTGTCGGCCCAAGACCTTTCTGCAGGCCTTGTGCAACTAGAACACGCCATTGGTGGCAGTTCGTGCATGTCATCAGCCTTAGACTTCCCTCTGCTATGCGTTTTTTGCTGTTAGCGGGTGACACACGAAGCAAACACGCGGCGGAACAAGAACAAATCCAAAGTCAACACGGAACACGTTTGGGTTCACGGTTGCATGCTGTGTGCAATCAAAACTCAGCGATACGCCCTGTTTCTGTGACATGAGCAGGGGGAATGTGTACGACCACGCACCATTGGCTAAGGTTGTGGATGTCGTCGGCCTAAAGCCTTTATCTGGCATGCGTATTTGATTGGTCACACATGCAGCTGGCGGCCTTCTTGACCGAAAGTCAAGAACGTCAGCAGAACAACGTCAGCGTTGACGTTTTCGGCTCGTGTGGGGGCAACCAAGACGCCCTGGATTTGTGGTTTGTGCATGACCTCACGATACTGGCCTCTGTTCGGGCAGCAGTCGGTGTAGTTCCTCGTTCTGGCATGATCGGCGTGTGACTCCCCCCAATTGTCACAGCGAAAAATCGGCCGATTGTTATAAGAAAGTGGGCCGATTGTCGAATTCGCCGGCTGGAATCCTTGGGCATTTTCGGGCTGTGAGAAGCCCAAGTATGTTTTATGCTAAGAAAATTTACCCCCCCCCCCCCCCCCCCCCCCCCCCCCCCCCCCCCCCCCCCCCCCCCCCCCC